AATCAATTTAGTTTGTAAATTTTAATTAGAAAATTTATTGATAGAAAAATAAATTTTTCATTCCTTGTTTTTCCGTAAATCAAATATCACCTATTAACAAGTTTGTGCCCTTCCGCTATATAAGGGTAATTAATTTCGCGTGTGTAATAATGAATAAAAATAATTTAAGAATGTCCAATAAAGGTCTTTGGAAAGCAGTTCTTGGAACTGAAACAAATCAAGATAAGCAAACACAAGCGAAGGCGGAATTAATTCTGTTGGTGGATAAAACTATTTATCCACACATTCGTAATTGCAATAGTGCGAATGAAATATGGGGTATACTCTCAACAATTCTTGAAGACAGCGGACTAGTAAGAAGAGTTGGATTAATACAAAAGTTTTGTTCAACAAAATTACTGAAATTCTTACAACAGCACATAAACTAAGAGGAGCTGGTCTCAGTGTCGATGAAGAATGGGTAGGTTCAATGCTACTAGCGGGGTTACCAGAAGAATACAATCCAATGATAATGGGTATTCAAAGTTCCGGAATAAAAATAACTGGAGACGCCATCAAACTAAAATTATTGCAATATGTTAAGAAGGAATCAACAGACGTTGCGTTAGCTGGTCAGAAGAAATTCGTCAAAAATAAAGGACCAAAATGTTACAATTGCAACCAGTATGGACACATTGCAACAAAATGTCCTAAGAAATCGAAGCCAAAATACAACAAAAATTCAAATGCCATGATTGGATGCTTTTTTGTGCAAGAGTTAAACAAAAGTGAATGGTTTTTTGATTCTGGTTCGACAGCACATATGTGTTCTAATTTAAAATTCTTTAACAACCAATTTCAAGAAAAGAATGCTGAAGTTACAATTGCTAATAAAGAATAAATGCAAGTAAAGGGTTGCGGTCAAGTTGATATGATTGCTAAGGTTGGAAAATTTAAAGAAGAAATTGTGATGTTTTGTGATGTGCTTTATATTCCCAACTTATATGTCAATTTGTTATCAGTTTCGAAAATTGTGGAATCTGGTTATGAAGTCGCATTCAATAAGAAAGGGTGCAAGGTATTGAACAACTTCGGTAAGGTTATTGCAACAGGTGACCTGGTGAATGGTATGTTTAAATTAAACATTGCAAGCAACAGTGTGCTTATTTCTGAAGTGAAAAATGAAGAATACAACTTGTGGCATAAACGTGTTGGCCATGCAAATGATAAAATCTTAAAAAGTATGAAGTCTGGTGCAGTCAATGGTGTCAATTGTGAAATTAACAAGCAAAACTGCATTACTTGTATAAAAGGTAAGCTATCAAGATCTCCATTTAAGGATCCTGGAACGAGAGCAAAAGAGGTATTAAGCCTAATACACTCAGACCTTTGTGGACCTATGGAAGTACCGTCAATTAATGGTTCAAAATATATGCTAATATTCGTTGATGATTTTAGCAGGAAAGTAACTGCCTATTTTATAAAAACCAAAGATAAAGTAACAGATAAATTTATGGAGTTTAAAAACTTGGTTGAAAATCAAACTGGAAGAAGAATAAAAGCATTAAGAACTGATAATGGAACTGAATACTGCAATGGGAGAATGAAGAAAATGTTTATTCAATATGGAATTGAGCATCAAAAGACAGTGCCTTATACGCCACAGAGAGAATGAACCGTACTATTTGAAAAAAACAAGATGCCTTTTAATTGAATCCCGTCTACTAAAGAAGTTCTGGGCTGAAGCTGTAAATACGGCTGTATATTTAATAAACCGCACTCCATGTAAAACATTAAATAGTGTTTCTCCTAAAGAAATATGGTCTGGTAAGAAACCAAACTTAAAATATCTTAAAGTTTTTGGATGCAAAGCTGTGATACATATAGCAAAAGAAAAGAGAAGGAAACTTGATGCTAAAGCAAAAGAATCAATTTTCGTTGGCTATTGTACACACTCCAAAACCTATCGGTTCTATGGCGTTAAATCAAAGAAGGTCGAGTTAAGTAGAGATGCCAAGTTTTTAGAAAACGAATTCTATAATGAAATGCCTAGTGATGATTCCAAGTTCTATATTATACCGGGATGTGATTCAGTGGGGGGTGTGGATGATCCAGAAGATATATGTTCTGATGATAGAAATCCAACAGATGATGTTGACGAATGCTCCGATGAAATAAATCCTACAGATACTATTGATATACGTTCAGATGCGACAATTACATATTCAGAAATGCCAAGTATTGGAGAAGATAGTAATTCTGATGAAGATCAATATTTTTCTGATACTGATGAGACATCGCATAGAAACAATGATGATCAAAGTAACGACTGGGTACCTGGACCATCTGTGAGAGGAATCACATCACCTGAAACTGTAAGAAAGTCATCTAGAACGCCAAAACCAGTTCAAAGGTATGGGTATGAATGCAATGTTGTTCAAGTGGATGAAGAACCCAAAACAGTGAAGCAGGCATTAGAAAGTTCTAACAAAAATGAATGGCAACGGGCTATGGATGAAGAACTAAACGCTTTAATTGAAAATGGAACATGGGAACTTGTAAATCTACCAAAAGGAAAGAAACCTATTGATAACAAATGGTGTTTTAAAATAAAGAGGAACTCTAAAGGTGATATAGAGCGATATAAAGCGAGGTTGGTCATAAAAGGTTATTCCCAATGCTACGGAATTGACTATGAAGAAACATTCTCTCCTGTAGTTCGATATTCCTCAATTCGACTACTCCTAAGTTTGGCCGTTCAGCACGACTTGGATATAGACCAAATGGATGTGGTGACAGCTTTCCCTCCAAAGTGAACTAAATGAGGAAATATATATGAAGATCCCTGAAGGTTTCACTGAAAAGAAAGACATGGTATGTAAACTTAAAAAAATCTTTGTATGGTCTTTAGCAAGCTAGTAGATTGTGGAATCAAAAGCTGGATCAAACATTGAAGAAAATTGGATTAACCCAATCAAAAACGGAACCTTGCGTATATTACAAATAATTCAAACAATAAATTGAATATAAAGAAACGTCTTACAGAAAATTTTAAAATGAAAGACATTGGTGAAGCAAACTACATCTTGGGGATGAAAATTACAAGAGATAGAAAGAATGGAAAACTATGGCTTGATCAGGAACAATATATTAACAATATTTTGAAGAAATTTAAGATGGTTGACTGCAAGCCAATTTCAACTCCATTGGATATTAACCAGAAAATTTCAAAAGATATGTGCCCGCAAACAAAGGAAGAGAGTGATGGCATGAAAACCATACCGTACCAAGAAGCAATAGGAAGTATTATGTATGCACCTCAAGTAAGCTTTGGCTAGATACAACAATAATCGTGGAAAGGCACACTGGCAAGCAGTAAAGCGCATAATGAGATACCTCAAAGGAACAATAAATTACAAGTTGCAGTTCTCGAAAGATAAAAATGTACATATTGAAGGATTCTCAGATGCGGATTGGGCTGGCGACTTAGGTGATAGAAAATCAACTTCTGGTTACGTTTTCAAATTTCAAGGAGGTTGCATTTCATGGAACTCCAAGAAGCAACAAACAACAGCTTTATCAACAACAGAAGCTGCATATGGGGTTTTGGCAGCAGCTGGGCAAGAGGCGTTGTGGCTACGATCTCTGTTCAATGAACTTGGACGATCATCGTCTATTGTGATAAAGTGCGATAATAAAAGCGCTATAAATTTGTCACATAACAGTACTTATCATGCTCGCTCTAAGCACATTGACATACGACATCATTTTATAAGAGATCTCGTAAATGACAAAAAGGTTGTTATTGAATATCTGAATGCCGAGGATATGGTAGCTGATGTTTTAACGAAATCCCACAACAAGTTTAAAGCATTTACATTGTTGTGGGGGTGTTGAAGAATGAGAATGAACTTTCTTTATAATATACTTGTTTTGTTTACTTTGAATTTAATCAATTTAGTTTGTAAATTTTAATTAGCAAATTTATTGATAAAAAAAATAAATTTTTCATTCCTTGTTTTTCCGTAAATCAAATATCACCTATTAACAATAACTAACCTTTATATAAAATTACATCCCTCTTCCCAATTTTTGAGGATCGGCCCATATTTGACCCTAGTTCCCATATAAAGCCTCTTTTAGAAGTTTAGTTTTTCTTCAATAAATTGCTTAAATACATCGGAATTAAGGTAAAATTCAACAAATTTTAGGTGTAGGGTATCATATAGTCGGCCATGTCCGACTATACTTTCCTTAAGTCTTTATATGTATGTGACCGTGATGTTTTTCTAGTGTGGGATAAACGATCCATTTATAATATCTGTCTATACAAGATAATCTACATATTTAAGATACTATTTATAATTTAAAGTAATGTTTCAATTTGTAATCCATAGGATAATGCTTTCTATTTTAATAAAATATATAAATATTAGTTTGTGGCCATACCTAATAAATGAAAGAACATGCAAATTTTTTTTTTTTGTTAATTGAGTACATATTTATTAAAGTTAATACAGTTATATATATAATAACTGTATTAACTTTAAAAGAAAAAGAAAAACAAATACTACATTTTACATACTTTTGTTATATCATCCATCAAAATTAGAAAATTTTTAAATTTTGTAAAGGAATTTTTATAGCTATGTAAAAATTTTAGGCAAACGTATTTTACAAAATTAATTTTTTTCAAATTAAGACATATACCTGGTTATCAGAAACACAAAACAAAAATACATTTTTCCAAAATTCTGATTTTTAATAATTTTTTTACTTAACCTATCTGTAATCAACATTTGTCATCTTACCAAAATTTATTGACTTTAGAGTCCTTTTTTTGGTGACAAATAGTGTCATATCATTCAAATTTTTGCACACATATCTTAGCTGCTTTATTACCTTTCCAACGATATATATTTTATTAATATTCTTTACAACTATTTTTTGACTTTTGTCTATTGGAAATTTTAAAAAATTGTATAAAAGTTATAATCAAATGAACATGTGAAGTTTCTTACCTTAAATTAAAATCCAATGAAAACCGTTTACCACATCCCTCAAATGTACATTGAAATGGTTTTTCTCCTGTGTGCACTAATTGATGTCGCTTTAACTTTGAACTTTCTACAAATGCTTTTCCACATTCTGAACATACATGAACACGAGGTCCATGCGTGTGTAAGTGTTTTCGCATAGCGGAATTATCACGAAATAACTTATTGCAACCCTTATGAGGGCAGGCGATTTTTTTGTCTGGAGCATTTGGAACTACATGGTTAACAACGTTAGGGGAATTATTAGATTCATTCGTTGCGGCAGTGTTGCTTGGTGAGGTATCGTTTGAGTTGTAGCTTAATGGAGGTGGCGTTACATTTTTGGATTGATCATTATTTATGTTTTGCAAAACTACACCCATAGATAAAAGGCGACCATTTTGTGTTCCAGTCATTAGTAAAGTATTCGCCGTAGGGTTATTTCTGTTTAAGGTATGTATTTGAACAGTATTAGAGGAAACATCCTCATCGGAAGTTATGCTTGTCAAGGTTGAATTACTAGTTTCATTAATATTCGTTAACAGCGTTGAAGGATTAACAATGTCCGATGCAGATGACGTAGATGCTGCTGTTATCAATGTATTGGTGGTTATCGTGGGTTGTTTAAGAGCATTGGAGGAATTAATTTGATGTGCATTGTTACTGGGTATAGCTCCCATTCTCTTTGATTTATCTGAATAGGGATTGGTACGTGAGCAAATATTTTGTGGTTTTTTGCTGTCAGTGATATTTAAATTAACAGCAGCAGGTAAATTGTGAGAAACTGTCAATGTGTTATTAACAGTGGATGCAGCATCTTCAATCATAATTTGATGTTGGTGTTGCTGCATCAAAATATGCTGGTGTAATACTTCGGGTTGTAAATTACAAGCAGAATCAAGTAAAGTGGCGGGTAATGTGGCTGGTGACGTAACAGCTGTTGTAAATACATTGGCATTTCTACAACGATTGGAATATTTTAAATAATCCTGATTTATGTCATTGTGACAATCTGAAATTTCGCTATTAATATTTACAGCTTCCTCTTGATCTTCTTCATCATCGGATATGCCAGATGCCCACATAGTAACACTGAATTCCCCTTCCATAGTTTTAATTTGTACTTGCTTCTGCTCCCAGCGCCTAGGTTTCATAGTCTCCTCTATTATTACATCGCCTCTTCGGCCAGCATGACTGGGGACGCATTTATTTACTGAAGTAGTAGATGACTGAAAAAAATTTGGTATCGATATTGCCGGCTGAAATTTTTGGTTGCGTTGAATGGTTGACGGTATTTTTGATGAGTTCATAACTGAAGCTAATGTATCACTAGTACTAGGCATTAAATTGGAATTGCCTTTTATCTCGTTATTTAATACATTTACACTTTGATTAGACGACAAATTATTTACAGCAAACGAAGAAATACTTTGATCTTTTTTTCGTTTTCTATGGAAATAAAATAAACTTTTTCTTAAAAAAATATCAATTTGGGTTTTAAAAGATTATAATACACTACTTGTTACTGGATGAATTTATCATAGTAGCTGCTGAGTTCAATGGTACAGATGTTTGTGACGATATAAATATATCCGGGTGAAATGCCGATGCGTTCAAATAAACATGGCTGGGTAATTGAGAATCTGGATGCATACCCATATCTTCTTGTATTAAAACTTGAAAAATAATAAAATAAATATTTTTTATAAATGCAATGCAAAAAAATAAATAAAGTAAATCCATTTTCCGAAATTCGTTTTCTACTTTTAAATCATTTCCTAATATATTAAGCAGAGACTGAAAATAACGGGTCCACTTTGTTTTTATAAGGTTAATTGCTGTGATCACCATTTATAATTGTGTTTTTGCAGTTTATCACTGAGATAAACCTTTATGTTAGATTTTTTTTTTGATAAGTGTTTGGGAGAAACCGAAAAAAAAAAATAAATAACTCGCTACAATTGATTTTTATTTCGTAAACATTTTTGAAAAGATCTGCTTATGATTTTTATTTTTAAAAGCAAAACAATAAACAACAATATACTCTCCCACTCTCATATAAGCAAGAGATAAAAGGAATACAACAACCAAGTGCTCAGCCAAAAACATAAGTAACAAAACAAAAGGAGTAAAGGTTATACTAAACCATTTAAGTAAAAATCATTTTATAACTGTTATTCTGTGTGATTTATTTTAAAAAACAAAAATAAATTACAATTCAATCACTTTGTTTATGTGGCCCAGTTATTTTCAGTCTCTGATTTTAAGTAACGAACTCAAATTAACTTAAACAAGATAAAGAACGTTTTTTTTAAGTTAGTTAGTCAACTGATAGGTGTTTTATAGCTTCATGTTTCTGTCTAATATGTATTACTATGTCCTTTACAGTCTGGAGTATTATTTGCCATATAGTTGCTATATGACATATTGATTGGTTCTGTGAGTTCACTTTTGGGATTGTTTTTGACTTCTACATATTCTTTTCTTTATTTTAACCTGTTTTGCTTCTTTGAATTACATTTGATTAATTGCAAATTATGTAGGAATTAATTTATGATCAATGCAGTACAATTTAATTATCCTATCGTCATTTTATATAGTTTATTATCTTTTTAAATAATTTAGTTTTAAATTTTTTTTTATATAATTATGTATTTTGTGTTGGAAGAATTATTGTAAAGTAGAAATTTGTAACCGCTTATGGCCTATAGGCAAGGTTATTGAATATCATTAGCATTTAACTCATTATTTTAATACGGTGGTGACGGTTATTACTACAGTAATTCAAAGTAATTCAGGTAAGTAGTAGTCATTTCAAGTAAGTGATTATGTAAGTACAACACATTACCGAATTTTTGCTGGGTTCTTTAAATTTATATTTCATAGATCGGAGATTTTTATATAAAAACTGGATTTTGAAATGTAAATATATATATATATATATATATATATATATATATATATATATATATATATATATATATATATATATATATATATATATATATTGCTCATTTACTACAAGGCCGGCATAAATCAAAAAACTTCGTTTTGAGTAAAACCGCATTGAATGTTGCTATTTTTATACCCTTCTCTTTCGTAAGAAGGGTATATATAAGTTTCTTATTTTGTTCACAATTTAAAAATATTAATTTTGTGGCCTCATAAGGTACAAATGTAATTTGTAATCCCATACAAGTATCGAAGTCTGTGATGTCCGTCTACACAACCCCCTTTTTTCAGTTTGTTTTCAAATATCTGTTTGACTGTCCGTCTGTTTATCTGCCCGTGTGTATGTTTTCTGAAGACCCTAGATATCTGCGAAATCGGCCCATAAATAACGGAGATATGAGCAAAAATCTGGGACAACCTCTGAAGATTTCATCAAAAATTAAGCTTTTTGGTGCATGCAGAGATAAAAATAATAATAAACAAACAAAACCACACACGGTATGGGTAAATTTTCTTCTTGCACTTGCTGGTTTATTAAAACAAAGCAAAGCAAGAGCAACACCCCAGTAAACAATCTGTTTAGACATGCCTGATGTCAGAAATTTTATAAAATAATTGATATACTTCATCAGAATTTTTAACGAATTTCTAAATTTCCCTTAGACAGTTTACAGACTAATCTGCAAACTTTTTCATAGACTTTTCTGAAATATTAATCGATTAACATCAGACCTGTGTGTACATTGTCTTATATATTTTAGACATAAAGCAGTATAGTCTGCATATTTTCTGAAGTAAAACATAAAATGGCTTCCGAATTATAAATCTGCAAAATATCTGAAGATAATTGCTATTGTAACTTTATCAGACAGTTAACCGAATCATATAAATATCCTTTAAATATTTAACTGAATAGTCATAGGTCATGCCCATTTTCAATACGTTTATAAGAAAACTTTGCGACAAAAACAACAAAAACTTTCATTTTAAAAATAAGGGGGAAATTAATTGCCAAATATTGGAAAAAAATCTTATTCTTAAGTTAAAAAAATTATTTTTTTGATAGATATCCCACTCGCATCCCGTTATGGGACCATAAAGCCCTTAAAGGAAATTGTCTAAGCTTTATTTTTAACAAAAAAGGGAGTTTTTTGAAAAAAAAAAAAAAAAAAAAAAAAATGGAAATTTAGAAAAAAAATTTAAATGTAAAAATATTTCAAAATTTTTTTTGGGAAACTATGAAGAAATAGCTATCTGAACTCCTTTGGACAATTTTTGATAGGACCAAAAGGTGAAAAGTTACACTCATTTGAATAAAAATGTTCAACTTTGACCCCCTCTGACTCCGGCAGTTCTTGACCAATAGAAAATTTTTGTCTAGCCTACTATCCCATAGTACTAACCTTGGTGCAAATTTCATCCAAATCGGAAGACATCGATTTTAAAAGTTGGGTCACTTGACACGAAATTCCCCATATGTATATCATTAATTCCATGAAAGAACACATTAACTGAATTTTTTTTTTCCAATTTCCTTCATATTATCAATATATGTATGTTCCTTATGTAGAAAATAAAACAACTTTGAAGGCTTATAGCTTTGAGAGTCTATATTGAATTTTTTGATTTAGAACCAAATCTATTACTATGGATGAGCTCTTCTATTCTAATATAATTTTTATATTAAAAAGTTTAAGATAGTGCATTTTTTAAAGAAATTCACTTTTGAATGCTTTTTTGAAATCGTTCTACCTTTTAAAAAGGTCTTAAAAGTGCATAAATCGATTATTTGAAGCTTTTTATGCAAAATATACACATATTTTGTAGTGACGTGTATTACATCTATTTTTGTCGATTTTTTTAAATGTTTTTTATTGGAAAATTTTTATATTTTATTGATATTTTATGCGTTTAACAGAATTTAAAACTGCTTAAAATACATTACTGATCAGAATTGGGATGCTTAAATTCGATTACTACTAATGTACACTTTCATAAATATGCATTTCTAAACAATATTTTTTAAGATGAATGCATTTTTAATACAAGTGCACCTTGTTAGCGTTTTCCAAACTGTTCTCCATGTTCAAAGTATTTTAATATATAATAAATCAAAACTTGCTAATTTTATATTATACACTAGTGGCCGAAACTAAAGCAACTGATTTTGTATTTATGTGGAATCGTTTATAAAATTTAGTTTCGTTTTTGTCAATTCAAATCTAGTGTGAATTTCTTTTTGTGTATTTAAATCATATTTAACAAAAAAATTTGGAAAATTTTCTTATAATTTTTTAGTTAGTAATATACATTACTTAAAAGAAAAAACTAATTTAAAATATAAACGAAACTAAAACAACATCAGTTGTTTTAGTTTCGGCCACTAGTGTATACATATACATTTCATAATTTTTCGCGATACATATTTTGAAAATTTATTTTTTTGGTTGAAATTAGTTCAAGTGTCCATAAAAAATATATAATTTTTTATTTTATATAAATTTATCTATAATTAGTGGTAATCGAATTTAAATAGTTGCATCCCAATTCTGATCAGTAATGTATTTTAAGCAGTTTTAAATTCTGTTCTCAGCAAAATACGATTTCAAAAATACATTTCTTTAAATGCAATTGAAAAGAATGAAAGAGCTCATCCATAGTAACAGATTGGGTTCTAAATAAAAAAAAAACAAAAAAAAAATCGTAATTTTGAAGGTTTATATCTTTGAGAGTTTATCTCAAAGATATAAGCCTTCAAGGTTTTATATCTTTTTGATTTTTTTCAGTTTTCGAACAAATTAAAATCAAATTAAAATTGTTAAGAATTTAACATTGATATGCCTTATGTGTCTAATAGAGTATGTGTTAACAAAAAATTAAAGACATCTGAAGACCATCGATCAGACTTTCTTATATTTGGTCAGATTCCACAGACAAAAGGCCTTATGGGCTTGGTTATAAAATTGTTTTAAATAAAACAAGTACCCTTCACCATAGTGTATTTAAAAAATATTAAATTTATAAAATTCCAATTTATTTCATTTTCTCTACTATATCATTACCAAGGCAAGGATTTGTATGCAAATGCATGTCTGTAGTCAGTAACTCAAAATAACTTTTAAGTAGTTTTCTTTTCGAATCAAAGAATTTGCAACAAAATGGCATCGATTTGTTGTTGCATATTTTTGCATATTTTGTTACAAATGCATAAATTGCATATTTTGCTTTAAAATGCATACATTTTGCATATTTCTAAAATATTTATGGGATATTTAGCATATTTTTTAATTTTTCGAACACAAATTGTGTTTTTTGTATTACATATTTTTAAAATTCAAGAAAAAATTATAAAAAAAAATTTGTAAACAGTAAAGAAATATCTAAACTCCTTTGGACAATTTTTTCTAGGACCAATAAGCAAAAAGTTACACTCATTTGAAAAAAACCCAGTATGACCAAAATGTCCAACTTTGATCCCCTCTAACTCCGGCAGTACTTGCACAATAAAGTTCTTGACCTATGTGTCTGGCCTACTATCTAATAGTTCTACTGCAAATTTCATCCAAACCGATTTTTTGAGTTGGGTCACTGGACACGTGATCGTGATTCTGTTAAATTGGTATTAGAGTACATAAAGTGGTACCTCCCAGCAAAATCTTTGCTTACAATGATTACCATTAAGTACTTTATTAATGACTTACTTTGTATGTAAAGTCTAAAAAAA